GGATTGGAAGCAAACTGGTCATCTTTTAGGATGGAGAGATGTAATGGGTTTGTTACCCTCTCTAAGAGGGAAATGGAACTAGGATAGATCACCCAATTTATATTTTACCAATAAGTTATTCCATATTATGTTACCTCAGCTCAGACTTAACAGACGGGAAGGAAGTAAGGGCTCACTTCTCTGCTGGGTAGCTGAGCAGAGCGGTCGGGCAGTTCCTTTGGGGAAAAAGAGCATCGGTTGTGGGGAAGTATCTTTATTTTTGGCTCTTCTCGAATCATCCTGGAATCCTAGAGATCATAATGAATTGGCCTGAAGGTGGAAACTTCAGTATGGCCCATGAGAAAGAAGAAGAACAAGTGGATCGGGCTGAGGAAGCTCCACCATACAATCAGTTACCTGAAGAAGAAACACGTTATGCCCTCTTCACTGATGGTTCTTGATGTATTGTGGGGAAAAATTGGAAGTGGAAAGCAGCTGTCTGGAGTCCTACCCGACAAGTGGTGGAAGCTACTGAAGGAGAAGGAGTCAGTTTGTGGAACTCAAAGCCGTTCAATTGGCCCTGGACATTGCTGAATGAGAGAAATGGCCAAGGCTTTACCTCTACACCAGCTCGTGCGTGATAGCCAATGCTCTGTGGGGCTGGCTGGATCAGTGGAAGAAGATCAATTGGAAGCGTAGAGGAAAACCTGTCTGGGCTGCTGATTTATGGCAAGACACTGCCACTCGAATTGAGAAGGTGACTGTGAGAGTCTGCCATGTAGATACTCATGTACCCAAAAATCGAGCTAATGAGGAACATCACAACAACAAACAAGCCGACTGAGCTGCACAAGTCAAGGTGTCGCAAGTCGATCTAGATTGGCAGCATAAGGGAGAATTGTTGTTAGCTCTGTGGGCACATGATTCTTCAGGCCATCAGGGCAGAGATGCCACTTATAGATGGGCGTGAGACCAAGGGGTGGATCTAACCATGGACACTATTTCCCTGGTCATCCATGATTGTGAGACATGTGCTGCCATTAAACAAGGAAAAAGAGTGAAGCTCCTATGGTATGGTGGACGTTGAGATAAGTATAGATATGGAGAGGCTTGGCAGGTTGACTATATCACACTATATTACCTCCAAGGTAAGCGTTATGTGCTCACCAAGGTGAAACCACTGGATGGTTAGAGACTGATCCGGTGCCTCACGCAACTGCCTGAAATACCATCCTGGGTCTTGAAAAGCAAGTCCTGTGGCGACACAGTACCCCAGAGTGAATTGAATCAAACAATGGGACTCATTTCAAAAACAGTTTAGTTACTATTTGGGCAAAGGAATATGGCATTGAGTGGGTATATCACATCCCATATCATGCACCAGCCACTGGAAAAGTTGAACGGTGTAACAGATTGCTGAAAACTAATCTGAAGGCATTGGGTGGGGGAACTTTCAAAAATTGGGATCAGCATCTAGCAAAGGCTACATGGATGGTTAACACTAGAGGCTCCATCAATAGAGCCGGCCCTGCCCAAACAGAGTCCCCTCACACTGTGGATGGAGACAAAGTCCCGGTGATTCACTTGAGAGGTATATTAGGTAAAGCAGTTTGAGTTAACCCTCCCTTGAGCAAAGGTAAACCCATTTGTGGGATTGTCTTTGCTCCAGGACCCGGATACTCCTGGTGGATAACGAGAGAAGATGGGAAAACCCAGTGTGTGCCTCAAGGAGATTTAACCTTGGGGAAAAACTAATTGATATTCTAAGTTGTATGTTGCAAGAAAAGTCACTAAACAAGGAAGACCCGAACTAAGCCGATGCTGGTGTTCAAAGATGAGACAACGTAGAAGACCACACCTGTATAAGCATGGGATATGGACGCATATGGAATATGAGTGTGACGTAAAATAGTATGGAATAAGGGGTGGAGATTGTACTGGGTTTGTTACCCTCTCTGAGAGGGAAACGGAACTAGGATAGATCACCTGATGTATATTTTTCCAATAAGATATTCCATACTATGTTACATCAGCTCAGACATAAAAGACAGGAAGGAAGTAAGGGTTCTCTTCTCTTCCAGGTAGCTGAGCAGAGTGGTCGGGCAGTTCCTTCGGGGGAGACGAGCGTCAGTTGTGGGGAAGTATCTTTATTTTTAGTTCTTCTCTGCGCGTATAGTGTTTATAACATTTTCCCTCTTTGTGTAAATATAAACACCCTTTCTTAGCAGCTTAGATTCTGTAGGGTTTTTTTCCCCTTCTTTTCCCCATTTCCCCCCTCACCTTCCCTCTGGAGGGACTGGGTGCAGGCCCAGTAGATACCTGGTGTTCAGCCACAGTAAACAATAACAAGAGAAGTCAGCAGTATGGTTCCCCAAAGAATAATGCAGGGTTTAGGTTTTTTCACATTTTCATTCATGGCATGAGAAAGAGAGTGAAAACTGAGTTCTCCAGCTCTTCAGGTGACATTAAGCTCTTCTAGTTAACTGACTGCTGCTTCACTTGGGAAAAAACTCACAAAAGTGAGCAGTTAGACGAGACATTGACCGACAAATTTTGATGTAGGAAAATGTCAAGTATTATAGCTATGGAAAATAACCTAAACTATTCCTACAAGATACTGAACTTGCAACTGGCAGTCATAGAGGTGAAGAAAAATCATGGTGTCATTTGTTACTGTGGTCTGAAGTTATTAGCTCTATGAGAATACCAGGGGAAAAAAACACCAAAAACTGTTGCATGTTGTCAGAAGACATAATTTTTCCCATTTTTGTAACCGTTTTGGAACGACTTGAGCATTGCATTCATTTATGGTTGCTGTGTTCTCATGAACAATGTAGTGGAATTACAGCATAACACATTGAAAATGGAATGAGCAAGGGAATAGACTAGGTGGCTTACCACGTGAGACTGAAAAAGCTGATACTTCACACTGGAAAGGAAGAGACTAAGATAAACATAGGTGAAGTTTAAAAAATCCTGAAGGTAATGGATAATCTGCATGGAGAGCTCTTCCTCAAATCCTGCAGTACTGCAAAGAGGGCATCCTCACCATGACTAGTATGGAAATTAGTTTAAAAGATGTAAAAGCACTTTAAGCAGATGGTCATGAGGTTCTGAAGCTTGCTTCTAGAGGAGGTAGTATCAGAAGATTTGAAAAGCAATTTATGGACCATGAGTTTATAAACAGATAATAAAAGGCCTGGGAAGAGACACTTTAGCACAAAAAAATGGTGTGCCTTCTGAGGGAGTAAAAGGAGAATGAACTGCAGAAACTGCAGAAAGTAGCCAGGTGTACACTGTCTACCTAAGCATCATTGGTTCTTTCCCTTTCAAACACTGTGATAGATCCTGGGGAGGAGGGGTCTGACCTAATAAGGTGTTTTTTACCTTCTTGTGTCATGTCTAATCAAAGAAAGTAGTGTTGGTATGTAAATTCACACAGGCACAGACCTACATTATATGCTACAGTAGCACAGAAGAATCTTGTGTTTAGAGAGAGGCTGGAAAGTCTATCTATGTTAAAGAAAGAAGTCATGGTTGTATATATACCCACCTATTTTAGAACACAAATTATTACTGTCTGCACAGGGAAAAAGTGAGAACTACATGTCATGGCAAGTCTAAAACAGCAGCTTCATGGTAATCCCCTAGAGTACACTGGCAAGGTGTATTAGTGTTTTGGGGTTCATTACACTGGGGAGACATAGATGTAAATGTAGCAGCAGGTTCCCCAGAAGCATGCACATCCACTTAGAAACACACTCACTACTGTCTCTTTTGTGGCTGCTCACAGGTACTTACTTGAGCATCTACTTGAAAGATGCCAGAATAATAATTTTAAATGGATATGCCATAAAATAATCTCCAATAAATACATGCAAGGAAAAACCATGAGGTTTTGAAGTAGATAAGGACTTTAACTTATATATATATATATCAAAGTATTCATTTATTACATTAGGATTTAAAAAATATTTTCCTATTTTTATTTTATTTTTATATTCCAGCAATTTTATGTGCAGAAAACAGATTTGTTTGATTCTCTGGTCTAAGTAAAAGACTAAAAGTTTTGCGATGCCCTAATTCTCAGCACAAGTTTGATCCAAAACGTGTTTTCCTGGATTTCAAGCAATGAACTTTCAAAAGCCTATCCTCTGCAGCAGTGTCATCAAAAATGAGACATATCCTAGAGAAACATAAAGGTCTCAAGAAAAGGTTAAAATAAAAAGGAGAAGGCTACTTTTGCTAGTTGTACGTAGTAGCCATTATGAGAAGGGGAATTTAATTAGCTGAAAGTCAAAAGGACTTAAGACTCATAAAAAGATGATGAAAGTATCAAATCTCAAAATAAAATAATAGAAGTGAATAGGCTGAGACTACACCATTTAAGTCAGTAACAGTTTTTTCCAGTCACTTGAACAGGAGCAGAATCAATTCCCTGAAAACTTCTGTTATCAATTACTTGAAACAATCTAATATTTCCCAGGGTCAAGAAGAATTTACTGTGAAGGAAATCCCTGAACTTAAAAAAGTGCATGTTATAGCTGTCATGGTAAATGGTACCAACCTACGCAGCACAATGGAGCCTCTTGGTACTGCCACAGAAAAGGAAGACTTGCTTTGGACTGGGAGCTGCTTCTAATTTTCTGGGGGGAAAAAAAAGCTTACTTTGAAGTATTGTAGGCTTGGCATTTTTGGCAGATCACTTGAGGAAGTGCTGGTATGCATTTAAGTGTCTTATGCATCTCCTCACTGGTACTCTGTTAGTTTTAATGAACACATATGTATCTATCAAAAAAAACCCCTGAACCTGAAAGCTTAAGCTAGGCACTTACAGAAACTTGTCCTGTGTGCTCTGCCACTTCTAAACAATCTTTTATCATTGGTAGATGATATAAGTGAGCCTGACACCAAACAGGGGTCAGATACAGTTTCAGGAAAGTGTCGTATCCTTCTTCACGTCATTAATAATAGAAAGAGCATGCACAGCCAGGAAGCAGAAGCTGGGGTGAGGCTGTTTTCGTTGTTACTCTACAGCACAGAAACATGGACCTCTCTGTTTTGCCAAACAACAACCATCCCGATAAATTCCTGCAACTAGAGGTGAAGTCTTTAGAGAAAAGCTCTACCTGTCTGCAAGCCAGCTGGGCAAAACTGCCAGATGCAGCTCTACCTGGAGTGCAGCGGTGGCACAACAGAATCTATTTACAGGTAAAGTCTAAAAGGAGCTGCCATTTTTCCTGATTTTTCTACCTTGTTTTAGGGATCAGGGCACAAATGTTGTGAGGTTGAGACATCAGCTGTGGTTTCAGCTTCATGCATCTCTTAATCTGCATCACTAATATCCCTGTAAGTTTTCCCATTGACTTCAGTGAGGATCAGGCTCCATGAGAAGAGTTACTCACTTCAGGAGGGGAACCACTGTCTTCATTTCAGTACATTAGGCTTTCTACTGCTCTATAACGTTTTTATTGAATTTCCCAAAGAGTCTACTGAAGTCAAACACCAATTAATTGTACTAAAAGGGTGCATGGAATGCGCTCTCTGAAGAAGCAAGAAAAAAAACAGATTTCAAATTGAAAGTTAGGTCATATCCTTATCCCTCCAACTAGATGAAAGGCACATTACAGAGAGCCTTAGAGATTCTTGCTCCAAATTTATATATGTTCACCATAGCTTCCTTTTTATTTTGCCTTGTTTTTCTCATTATACTTTGACCTTCCCCTTATACTGAAAGACAGCTGTTGAAAGTGTGAAACACACTGACCGCATTAATCCAGGTTATTATACAGAGGTAGCAGCAATTTCTTGGTAAAAATGTAAATGTGCATTGCCTAGCAGAGGCCCTGGAGCTGGCAGAGGAGAAGTTCATGTCTGGATCAGCAGCACTACAGCTGCATCAGCTCACACCCCTCTGGGCCCCACTCGCTGCTCCACAGTGCTCCTTTCCTGCTGCTCGGGGAGCCCCTCGCCTTTCCCCACCCCTAGCATGAGCAAAAGCTCCAAGGTCTGTTTCTTGTCAAGAGATGGAGACATACATAAGTGGTTGGGGGTGGAGGGGGTGGAGAAGGGTCTGCATCCTGAGGATGCTTAGGGTGGTGGTCAAATTCCCCACGGGAATGAGGAGTAGGAGCGAAAAAACCGTGAACCTGGGGGAAGGGATGAGAAAGATGCTTAAAGTCTCCCACAGCTACTTCCTGTTGCACTTCTCCCCTCTTAGACATTTCTCCCCATCAGCTCCGCAAACTCCTTCGCTCCCTCTCGGAGTCCGTTCCAGTCCTCCTCCTTGCAAAAGGAAGACTTGCTAAAGTCCTCCCGCTCCTGCCGCCCGCTTTACTTTCCCTAGCTTCTTTCCCACCCCAGACACCCTTCCCTCTGCCTACTCCAATGCCTCCAGCCATCTCCGCTCGTGTTGTATAATCTTTGTTGGCGACTCCCCAGGGAGAGCTGGGGCGGGGGAACACACGGTCGCCCGTAGTCTCCCATGCAAACAACCCTAACCGAGGGACGGAGCCTGAAGGATCCCAAACAATAGGGTATGGTGCAATGCTGGCCACACTCCCCCCCCAGCCCCCCCACCCCCCTTTCCCTCCAAGCCCCTCTTTTGTGCAGGATAGAGGCAGCCACACACAGAGCCTCCTCCGCAGCAGGGATCCTTCTTCCCATTGTTGTCAAACAGAACGCACTGTCACCGAGCCAAGGGCTGCAGAGCTGCGGGAGGACTAAAAATGTGTGGGGAGCCCTGTGCTTTTTGACTTGTGCTCTGCTCTTTGCCACCAGCGAGAAGGTTTTCCTGGAACTCTGTTCCCAGCCCCGGGATGGCTGTTTCAAAGGAAATGTCTGTACTCACTATGTCTCCAGAAACGGAGTTTGCAATGTGGTATGTTTTATGAATGTTAAACCTAGGACACAACCTATACTTTTTTTAAGTGCAGTCACTAGTGAATTCAAGGTGCTCAGATAAAAATCATTGTGCCTTATTCTTTCTACCTTAAGGGCTCACCTCCTTTTCCCCCTTTTGCTGACAATCAAATAAAGGGAAAAGTACTGATGAGTTCCAGACCCTAGAATAAACACAATGGCACAGTGGAGAACTAACGGCACAGGAATAACATATTTTCCTTTAAGATGAGAGAGCAATGAGGTTAAGGGTTAGTTAATTCAGAAACGGAAAAAGGGGAGGGCAGTAGAAGAGGGAGAATTAATTTCAGAACATATGTGCATGATCTAAAGATTCCCAAAGTCATTAAACCTTGAGAGTAGCCCAAATTCTCCCTTCAAAAGCTAATTTTCTTTTAAGCAACTAATGCTACTCAGGACTCCCTGTGCAAAGTGACTTCTCAGTGGTGTGTTTGTCCTCTTCCAGACCTTTATTATGAGATCCCTTAAATGCAAATGCACTTAAGTGCCTATGTGTTTTCTTCACCCATAAGTTTTAAAATTTGTTTCCATTATAAAAAGTAGTCTGATGCAAAGACAAAAAGCTGCTGCTTTTTCTCTGCACTTTCCTCTTTGGTATCAGGCAAACTAAACAGCTTCCCTGCTTAGTATGTATTTTCATAGACTAGTTTGACTAAACCAAACCATGAAGAAGTCCAGGAATCTTGGCCCTACCTTGTGAAAAGCAGCATAAAAAGCACAGACTTTCTCTTGCAAATGGATAGCTGCTGACCACATTCTGATCACCCTGAAAATTTCCAGTCTCAGTTGACTCTCTGCCCCATAATATGTTTTAATGCACAGTGTACACCAGGTAATCCCCTATATCTGTTTCTGATAGCCAGGTTGCATGTGTACCCTTTAGTCAACCTGGTAATTTTCTGCAATTCTCGGACTGCTCTTTCTTGCTTGTATTTCCCTTTTTTGCCTATTTTTGGAAAACAGCACAGAGCACTTAGTCTTTGAGCAGCATGCTACTTCTTGGCACGGTGCTCTTTTGGCCTGCAGGTATTACATCTCAATGCCTGTGTCCTGCCTTTGCTTGTACCAGCACAAAAGACTTTTTTTTTTTTATTTATAAGTTAGGAGGTTTTTTATCTATAGGTTAGAGTCACTTCTTTGTCCTCTGGACCATACGTGTGTTATGTATTTCCACTCTCTCCCTTATTCTTCCCCAGACATCTGCAATTGGCCACTATCAGAGCCAGCTGCAAGGTTGGCAGGAGCTTTGGTCTGAGACTGTACAAAAGTTTTTATGTAATGCACTCACAACCCTGAAGAACTCCATTACCAGCGACAGATAAAACATATTTTTTAAAGGAAACAATTCATTATAAGGATAGAAGTAGTCCCAATGGTGCACAATTAAAATAGTCCATATGAATGCCTACTTTTCTCTAAATATCCCTGTCACACCGGCTTAAGTGGTTACAATCATCTACTGATCTCTTTTCTATTCATGTCAGGTGACTTCCCAGGTTGCTTTGTAGTACATGAGGCTGCCTTAATAACTCTGACAAACAATCCAGATCCCTTCATTTCCTTCTATAAGAAAACTTTCATTCCTAGAATCATAGAATTATAGAATGGTTTGACTTGGAAGGGACCGTAAAGATCATCTAGTTCCAACCCCCCTGTCATGGGCAGGGACATCTTCCACTAAAACAGGTGGCTTCAAAGCCCCATCCAGCCTGGCCTTGAACACATCTGGGGATGGGGCATCCACAGCTTCTCTGGGCAACCTGTGCCAGGGTCTCATCATCCTCAGAGAGAAGAATTTCTTCCTGATATCTAATCTAAACCTGCCCTCTTTCAGCTTAAAGCCATTTCCCCTTGTCCTATCATCGTAAAAAGTCTCTCTCCAGCTTTCTTGTCAGCCCCCTGTAGGTACTGGAAGGCTGCTTCATGCTGAACAACCCCAGCTTTCTCAACCTGTTTTCATAGGAGAGGTGCTCCAGCCCCCTGACCATCTTCATGGCCCTCCTCTGGACTTACTCTGCATTCTCAGGAATCCTTATGTGAGCTCACCGCCCTACTGTCTTTCATATCTCCTTACCTACACCTGGTTACTCCTTGCCTACCCAATTGCTTTTCCATAACATCCTCTATGAGATCAGATATGCTGAAGATATTCTAAAGCGCTAATAATTATTGATCATAATAGATAAGCTTTTTTTATTGTCCAAATGTCTAGCAATACCTATGCAGTTGTTACAACTATCACAGGGATGCTTGGTTACACCCTAGAAACTTTTTGTCTTTCAGATCTTCTTCTGCCTTCAAAGTAGGTCTTTAAAGCAGAAAAATGCCCTTCCAAGTGCTAGGAGAATCCTCCAGGATGTGTTACAAATCTTTTGCACAACAGAGGGTTATAGTATTTAACAAATTACTATCAAATATAATAACCACCCTGCTACCCACCTTCACTAGGATTGAGGAGGCTGTTACAAAACAAATATTGCAACATCTAGTGGCCATGGGTTTCTTTAGCCTCCCTTGGTTAAAACTTCTAGGTATAGCTGCCCATCAACAGCATTTCTTTCCTTCATTGAGCATCTTTCCCAACATCAGCCGGAGACCAGGGCTGGCCACCAGACAAGAGAAACTGATTCTCTTCAGTGGGCAAGGAAAGAAAAATTTGAATTCCAGGAAGTAAATTTCCTTTATTTTTTTTAAGTATCTCTTTGTTCTCTTCTTTCAGTTAGATAGGCTTGAAACCAAGGCCTAGCCTTAACTGTTGATGTCCTGTTTTTGGTGGGTGATGTCTCATATCACAGGCTGAGGAAAGAGTGGTTAGGTTCTTAGGTTCTTGTTTCAGTGCTAACAACAACAGCAGAGGGAATGAAAGGATAAAGTCAAGAAAAAACCGAGATTAAAATATTTCCTAGTAACAAAGGTTAAATTATAATTTTAATTATATGTATTATAATGCATCTACATGCTTAATTCACATTATGAAATACTCAGCAAGAAAAAAATGTGGAGCAAGCAGATGTCGGTTCAGTAATCAACCAACACTGATTCTCTATTGATCTTCGGGCTTTTTACAGAATCCTGATTTTGTACATGCCAGCTCTCTGAGTCTGTCAAAGAGGGACAAACTGTTCTCAGTGAAACACAAGTTATAAACCATAATAGCTTTCTTGCTATTATCACTAACATAATAGTGTTCTTCCTAGTCAGTGCTTGAACCCTCCTTCCATTCAGTAAATAACTACATAAATTGCCTCTGATTTGTTCTGTTTCACCCTAATTCATACTAACTTCTTAGAATCAGTGTATATTATATGAACTCTGTAACGAATACCTAAATTTACAATACTTTCATCTTTCTTTGAACATTTGCTTCATGAATCAGAATTGAAACATAGAAGTCTGTGACAATGGTTGGGATATGTTTTACATCTTAGCAGAAAATAAAAAGGAGTTTTTGCAAGAATCAATACTAGCAAGCATGTTTTTATTATCTAATCTTATGTTTCTCTGCTTCTATACATGCACATGTTTAATGCAATCTTCTTCATAGTTCTCTGTATGATTTCTTAGACCTAAAACTTTTTTTATGTCCTTCAGGCTTCTGTCCTTTCTTTTCCCTAACCAGTCTCTAGGACATATTTACTGCACAAGTTTTACAACCAAGCATCTGCCTGTACTCTAACGTATTCTCCCGATTAGCCTGTCACTTTAATGTCTGTTCTCTAAAACTTCTGCAAACTATATCCTATTCTAAATTCCAGTCCAGTTCTCATGGTAAAACCCTGTTCCCCATCCCAGTCTATTTCCTCTCTACCTCTGCTCCAAACTACCACATTCTTCTATTCTCATGCCTATGAAAAGAAAGGTACTCCAAACAGAAGGAGCAAAAAGTTTTGCCACAAAGCCCTCTCTTTATGAAAAAAATTTGCATCATGCCATCTCTTCCAAGTTTGGAAGAGAATTTTATTTAAAACAGCTTTAGAAATTACTGTCAAGTCACATTCTTTTCACAACATTTTAGCCTAGGGAGACTAAACATCCCCTGGTGACACAGTTCGCGTTCTTCGACAAAATGTTCTCCAAGTTCAACTATCTAGCAAGCCTGAGGGAAGAATCATTAAGGTCAATAAAAAATTTTAAGTAAGAAATAAAATAAATAAAATAAAATGCAGTCAGAAAGAAAAGGCAGTTAAAAAACACCAGCTCAGCTGAAATCTGGCCAGTACAGCCCAGAGGGCTTCAGTGCCAGCTGTAACTGCAATGCAAAGAGCAGTACTGTCAAGGGATATGTGGAGGCTAAGGAACAACATGTGGAAATTATGAACTAACAGAGGGACAGGAGGTCACTGAGGATCCACCCGCCTACTAATGGCAATTATTGATGGGAAGCATGCTTAGTCACTTCTGCAGGATTTAGTGATACGAATGCCAGCATGATGCTTCCTCCCAGGGTTTCTTAGAAAAAGTCTGTTGTTTTGTTTTCTCCACCTTCACTTTCTGAAGGAAACCATTCCTCACAGATCCTTCTTCACCTGCCTGCCCCAGACACCCCAGACGTGTCTATGGATGTACAGACACTACAGTCATTAAGTAGGTGATGACATGCAGTGGCTGACTTCCACTGAAAGTGGATTCACCAGCACAAAAGGGGGCACAGAATTACTCAAGCAGAAGAAGCCAGCAGTTTGCTATCATCTCAGGGACCTGTACTGACTGATGTGGGATCCAAGTAGCTTCCAGAGAGTGTGCAGGAGGTCAGATTCTCGGGGCTCCCACCAGAGAGGTGGAAGGAGAAGCAGCACGTGCCCCCAGCCCTTTTGCAGCTGAAGTCCAGCCTGTGGTGCTTTCACAGCTGGAGATCTCCATAAAAGTGAAATACTCTGGGAAAGACATCCTTCCATGGAAGCAAGTTTCTCAGGACCCAGCTTCCTCACTGGTTGTTTATTATGTGCACTTACCTCATGTGAGTCTTGTAGCAGGCATTGCCCAGACCCTTGTGATTTCTGAGAGTGGGAGAGGGCTGGGGACTGCCCCCTGCTCAGCACACCTGACACAGGGCCACTGGGTCAGGCCAAGGCTCCCCTTGTCTCAACATGGTGTTTGTAAGGACAAACCGACGGGGAAGCAGCGTCACTAATGAGGAAGGATGAATTTGCACTGTGGTGGTTCTGTAGAAGCAGCCCCAAGAGATGGGAGGGGTGTAGGGCAAGGGCTCTGTCAGGAGCAGGTCTCTCAGGAAGTTGATGTGCGATGGAACCCCAGATCAGTGACAGGTTAATTCAAAGTCTCGTGGACAGAAGGTTGTGGTGAACCAAAATGTTTAACAGTCTGAGCTGGAGAGTCTGATTGCATTCCTCCATGCAATTACAGATTGAAAAATATGGTAGCTAGTATCTTACTGACCCATAAAGAGGTTCTTGATGCTGTTTTAAGAAGCAGCTTGCAAGTTCTCAAAAAATGTGATCCCACCAGAGTTGTTCATCCTCTTCCCTTGTCACCCCCATATTCAAAAAGGTCTGATTTAACAATGTTTTGTGGCTGGGAGGCTGCTCAGATATTTAAGTACCTGTGAGTTCTGACAGTGCCCGGAAAAAGGACTTTCTCTCAGTTGAATAAGGCGCCTCTTTGACATCCTAACACGGGTCTAGCGTTCAACAGCGTGAACAGAACTGTGAATCAAATCCTTGCTGCCAGAGGTGCAATTCCATTCGAGGCTGTCATTTATACGTTGCTACCCCTGTGCTTCATTCTGCTTTGTCCTTACAGCTCTGCTTTTGCACCATACACCCGTGGCTTTCATCAGAACTACATGTTGTACTGTAGTGCTCCATAGCACTGTTTTGCTAAAGCAGAAGCTTTCTTTCAGTAGGCATTATGTCAGTTCACATTTGCAAAAGAACTTTATGTTGCACCCACCTGCGTTCCCCAGAAGGAAAAAATCTGCACAAAGTGCGTTCACCTTTACTGCAGTCGGTCTCCTTTACTGCACTATATATGTTTGCCAGAATGAGAAAAATTGTTGCATGTGTAATTTTAAAAAGGATTCTGCTGTATTATAAATGCTAATTCTGCAGGGGGTAGGTAAACGAAGATAAAGGCAGCTTCTGATCTAACTTGTGCCTTACAGAGAGAAAAAAGAACTGTCACTGAGCTGCCAGGCTTAGACTTGAACAGGGTCAGTCAAGAAATGATAGACAAAGCCCTGGGGAAACACATTACACCCATCACCCTGAAATCCACCATCAAAAGAAACCCGTTGTATAGTGATATCCAGGTGGATGACGACTGGGAGGAGAAGAAAAAGACCCCTTCCTGGACCGTGCAGGACTATGACAGACACTCGCTGCACTCTAACTTGGCCAGCCACATAAAGGTAATGCACTGCTGAGCTGAGCTGGAGCAAAGTGAATTGCTGTGGGCTGTGTCGTGCATGCATGAACCACTGTGAGGCCTGTTCAGCCCGCTTGGTCCTTTTGGTGGAATTCCAGAAGTAAACATGGAGGTATTTTTTTGGTACAGACATGACACCAATGTGAGTCTGATCAGGAAAGGAAGTCTGCACATCTGGTGAGACTCCAGGAATTTCAGCTCTGCAGAACATGATCTCTGACTTAAAGAAAGTCTTAAACCACAACACTATGCAACTCTGTGTCCCTGTTTATATAGGGAAGAGCTATAAATATGGCACTTAAATACTATACAGTCACTTTAATAACTGTTCATAGTAAAATTCTGTTATCAAATTACATACATTTTCTGAGCCTCATCCACACTGTGCAGGATCTTTCCTGCCTGTGGGCTGGCACAAATCACTTTTAGGATTACTTTTGTAAGCTTTTTTTCTGCTGTTCCACTTTTGGGAAAGAGAGTGAGATCTGTGTTTATACAACGACATCTCTTCCTGAGAAGACAACGTGGTCTGTTCTAGGTTTTTTGATCACATTTCAATAGCTGGTGTCCTACATTTGGTTCCTGGCTGAAAAGTATGGTTTTAATTTTCCCCAGTGGAACATTTGCAGCATCTGGCAAGTAGCACAACCTACGTTCAAGTGAAAGTGTCTTACATATGTGCTGTGATGTCTTAAATTCATTAATCAGTATCTGATGATAGCCAAAATACTTCTGGGTATGTTCTAATGACTTTATGTGCAACAGAGAGAAACTGAGTTTATTTTCTGATTTTTCTTCTAGGAAAATCCTAATGATCTACAGTTCTGGATGGGGGATATTTATACTCCTGGGTATGATACCTTGTTAAAAAAGAAAGAAAGAGAAAAAAAGCATTCCAAATATTGTCGAATCATCCTGCTCATGGTACTTGCTGTTTGCATCCTAATTACCATAGTCACACTGAGTGTTTTACTTACTTAGTACAGCCAAATGATGCTGATGGGGATTTTTTTCCAATAAATATTTTTATTAAAGTATTCCCCTCCCCTCTTTTATTTGAATTCCTTTTTTTTTTTTGTTTTGGTCACAAATATAATGTGTTTGACAACACTACTTTAGAAAATTTCTGTGCAGCATAAAAAATTGATCCTGAAAAGAGACAAATACCCTGAATATGGCTGAATTATACCATAGGTATAATTTAAATAGAAAACTATTTAAATAGAAAACTTATAGGAAAAATTTAAATAGAAAACTATAAATATTCTACTTTTATTAGTGCCTTCTTTGGACTAGTCATTTAGGTCATTATGTGTGGTATGTTACATATTGTATGTACAGACAACTAGCTGATTATTTGTCCTAAAAACCACTCTCTTCATCTTTTTATGATAGCTATTTTTAGAATATAGAAAAGTAGTATAAAGCATCATTTAAGATATCACAAAGAATTATAAAACAAAAATTCACACCCTACTTAGTGACTGAATGCATTATTCCAATGATGCAGCACTTAGTATAAAGGTAGCCTAAAAGCATAAATGTTTTCTTACACTTTTTCAGAGAAGAAAACCAAAAAATAGATCACTGAGTTTCTTTGAAAAGAATTCCCTAAGACCTAGGACAGAGTTTCTGCATCCCTATGTGACCTTTTTTCTACATGTAGCATCTCTGCTATCCCAAAAGATGGGGTGACAACCTTTTTTTAATCTAACATGTCAAAAACTGGAACAACATTAATGAAGTATTAGATTATAAACTTGAATTACAATACACTTTAAAAATATTAAAGTCATAGAGCCAGGCTATGAAAAGTTATGTTTGTAAATAAAAGAAACAAAAAGTTAAATGTTAAGGGCACACAGACAATTAAGTTCATACACCTCAGAATAATTCAGGATAATGAAAACATGAGACAAAATGACAAAATAAAAAGTGAGTGGACAGGAAGAGAAGAACTTTGAATAATTATTTCCTTTCTGAAAAATATTCTGGGTGCTGCAAACCCTTTATACCTCTGTATTTGGTATCTAAGAAGCTATGAAGGGATTTCCCCCACTCACACAAGAGAATCTCACAGATGCACAGAAGCTGGAAAATTGGGGTTATATCAGTTCTACTTCTTGTCCCACAAAAAAAACCCCTCTGGATTAGGCCAGGAATAGGACCAAGACAGAGGGTTTGTAGTGTCCCCTCTGAATTCTAGAATGTGCCCTCCTTACAGCAGGTTTACAGTGCTTTAACTCATGTCAAGATGGATTTGTCTTCAGATAAGTGCATTCAATTCCTTCCTTCTCATCTGCTCCATGTTTGATTCTTGTTTGTGCTGTAACCACTCGGACCCTAGTCTAGCTTGTACCATAATTGGTTCATCTGGTTATCATGAAGATTCATGATAAAAGAGCTTACTGCTTTAATCTGGTGAGCAGCCAACAGCAAAAGAGTAGCAGCATTTAAATGCACATGCATGAAATTAGTATCCCTGTTAGAAAATTGAACATTAGTGTAAATATACACGGGAACTCAATCTCCTGCCTTGCTGCAGTTTCAGTGTAGCTGGAGATTCTTGTCTGAAAGATCAGGCCCATACAGCTTATGAAAGTAAGAACTTGGGAGTATTTTACAAGGCTAATCGCTGACATTATGAAGTAACTACTTGCATTAAACCAACAATACTTGACTTTGTTCCAGCCCAAGTACATTTGCTTTAAGTGCATACAATGTAGAGACGTACTTTTGTAAATTATTGAGGCCCGCAGGCGGGAAGCCTAAAAGCAAAGGGCTCTGTAATTTCCAGGAAAACAGCCAATAATACGAGTCTCTCGACTGCATTACTCTCTGAGGGTTTAGCAAAAAGGGTAAAATAGTTTTCTCCAGAAGTCCATTACGGGATGCTTCACTCCGGTTTCGCTGCTGTCACCTAGTGGAGAGCCAGGAAAGAGAAAAAACGTGTCAGGCACGGTAGTGCCGGTTTGTGCTAATTTCTTTTGTGTGTGTGCGTGTGTTTTGGAGGTTTTGTGTGTTTGTTGTTGTTTTGCTTTGGTTTGTTGGTTTGGGGTGTTTTGTTTTTTTTTTGGTTGGTTGGTTTTGGGTTTTTTTTTGCCGGTGGGGGGGAAGGGCTGCTCGATGTTTTTACTTTTCCTGTCCCTCCGTGGTGATGCGGGTTCCTCTGGTGACCCCTCGTGGCAGAGCGCAGCGGGCGGGACGGAGGGAATCGGCGGCTCCAGGTGCCGGGAGCGCCGGGAGGCAGGAGGAGGCTCCTTGCGGGATCGTCTGAAGGAAAGGGGCTGGCTGGCTGCGCCCTTCAGAGCATTGTCTTGCCTGAAAGCGAGCTTGAATACTTTGAGGAGGGAAAAAAAACCCCAGCGTCAACAGACCCGGAGACAAAGACCTCTCTTCAGGGGGGAGTGGTGGAGCCACGGGATCCTTTGTGCCATGTGCTTACTCTGAAAACAATTAAGGAGACAACCCTTCTTTAACCACTTGATGGAGTGTAAGTTTACGTGTGTTGTAGAAAAATAATTTAATTTTTTGGTTGGTAAGATTGCTTTGTGTTGTCTCTTTTATCGTGTTTTTTTGCTTTTGTTGGTTTGTTGGTAGACTTTTTTTTTTTAATTCTTTAGTGACAGGGACTGAAGACATCACATTAACACTCATAACAAACGAGGATAAAGATTGGTGTTTGGAGAACAGAATGTTGAGGGTATTCCAAAAGTGCTTGAAAAACTATGAGAAAAGGAGGCTTGGGGAGAACTTATTTGTTCTCTACAACTACCTGAAAGGAAGTTGTAGGGAGGTGGGGGTCTGTGGGAGTCTATCATGGAATATGTCGAGTGGGAAGGGGTCCATCAGGATCATCAAGTACAACTCCACGTCCTGCACAGGACACCCCAAGACTCACACCATGTGCCTGAGACTATTGTCCAGACACTTCCTGAACTCTGTCAGCCTTGGTGCTGTACCCACTGCCCTGGGGAGCCTGTTCAGTGCCCAACCACACTCTGGGGGAAGGACCTTTTTCTAATATCCAACTAAACCTGCCCTGACACAGTTTCAGGCCATTCCCTGGAGTCCTGTCACTGGTCACCACAGAGCAGAGATCAGTGCCTGCCCCTCCACTTCCCCTCATGAGGAAGTTGTAACTGCAATGAGGTCTCCCCTCAGTCTCCTCCAGCTGAACAGACCAAGTGCCCTCAGTCACTTCTCATAAAGCTTCCCCTCCAAACCCTTCACCATCCTCTTTGCCTCCTTTGGACACTTTCTAACAGCTTAATATCTTTCTTATATTGTGGTGCCCCAAACTGCCACAATATTCAAGGTGAGGCCGCCCCAGGTCAGAGCAGAGCGGGACAATCCCCTCCCTCCACCGTCTGGTGATGCCCCCAGGACAGGGTTGGCCCTCCTGGCTGCCAGGGCACTGCTGACTCAGATTCAACTTGCCATGGACCAGGACCCCCAGGGCCCTTTCTGCAGGCTGAGGGAGACTTTGACTTCAGTAAGATTTAAGCAAGGTGCTTAAAGATGAGAAAGTAGTCAAAGATAAGAAAGTAGTCAAATTTGCATCAGAAAAGAAACAAATCTGGGTGAAGTTTAAAATTTTTATTCCAATGTAGCTCAAGTAGCAGCAAAGTCTCCTATTGAAGTCAGCACAAACTTAACATACAACACCAAGTTGGTGTGTCAGTATCATACCAGCACCTACTAATAAGGTATAGGACAAGGGTATAACCGTGGTAGAATACTACCTTTTACTCAGAAAACTGAAATTTTCAGTGACACATAGCAGGAATTCGCTCTTATAAACTGCACAGCAGCAACCTGGAAGAAAATAAGAGTACTTGTTCATGCAGATTCTGCCCACTTATAATTGCACTGGAAGTTACTATATTTCATAATTGATTTTAGAAACTTTCTTCTCTCCAGTAAATAAGGATTAGCTTTCAAAACTGCCCAAGCAACTTTTAAAATTACTTTTAGTACAACTACTCTCCCAAAACACTAGAGCATCTCAGAAGATTCTGTTGAGGAAATTCTCACCTTTCCTCTTTCTTTGCTGTATTTTTCCCATCCCAGAAATGTCCAGAAATATGCAACTGAGTTCTCATATTATCTGATTTTGGCCTGCAAAGTTGCTGAAAACAAACTCCTGCTTGGCTTTGGCATTCCAACAGGCACAATTTGGGAAAATTATGGCTACCACTCCCCTTCAGTAAAGTACGGAGCTGACCCATGGAAAGGATCTTTCAGGGTTTGTTGCTTTAGCAGGGTACATGTTTTAAGTTTCTAGCTTCATTTTTTTTTCTATTAATGCACTCATTACATAAAATGAGATCTATAATAGAAAAACAAGAGGGAAAGGGCCATTTTTGAGTTTGCCACGAGTAAAGTTACTTTGGTCACATCAGGATTTGAAAAAGAATGAATTGTGAGTTGTCATCCATTACAAACTTCTCTGAGTAAGGCAAAAGTTACTCCTTCAGTTATGATATTCGGTCTGTGAGTGCTGAATGAATAATTGTAATAGCAGAACCTGTGTGGATGCTAAACATCTCTGCTATCTATCACTGAAAGGACAGGAAGGTCTGCCACAAACTCCTCTACCCAAGAAGAATGTGCCACTGATTAGTTCAGAGATGTTTCCAAGCAGATCAAACTACCAAATCCACTCCAAGGATCATGGTTATGCTCCTGTAAACTGAATAATTCACTGAAACACAAATTCATGGGGAATCTGGTCAGATGAACTAAGCATCAGACAGCAATCCAGCACAGTACATGTGATTCTTCTGTCAGCTATTTTCTCATGTGATTTTACCGGTTAGAAGATGCACCTAGATTTAAAAAACTAGAGTAGCAGTTACCTGCTGTAACAACAACAGGTGTAACACAAGGTGTATCATCTCTTTGTGGCACAAGATACATTTTAAAAGTATGCAGCACCCAGTATTTTTGGTGGATTACACTTTTTTGTTTAACAACAG